TGCTTCATCCTGGGCCCTTCTCTCAATGAGTCCTCCTTTCAGGAGGTCATGTCTGCAGTATTCTGGCAGGGCAGGGATACCTTAACAGATTTTTATCTGTGATCCCTAGCTTCCCACTCAGAAGGCCTGTATTCATTGGGACCTTTGGTGGTGGCATAGTCAGTGGCTGGGCCTCCTCGTTAGCCCCGGGCCATGTCTTTCCGTACGGCGGCATGTGGGTACACCTGCTCTTTCACAGAGAGGTCCCTTCCTTCACTTTAGCACTCTGTTCTCCCTCCCTACTACCTTGGTTGTGCTGAAGGGGCTGCCTGGCTTCTAGTCACCACTACGGTAAGACGAATTCGCATACTAAAGTTATGGTAATTATTACTGAAATGAAATTGAGGTTTTTTTAATGTAAAACCAATTTTCATGATGTAATACTTACCATAACTTTATGGAGTCCCACCCTATCCTCCCCTCTTCCTTATCTGCCTGGCTGCCCCTCTGTGGGGTTTACGCCATAAAGGTTATTAGAGGAAGGGAGATCACTCTGCGTTCCTGCCGTGATGGCTCATGGATCGTAGGGAGGGCGGGATTGTTTTTCTTTTGAATCTTTTGTTGTTGGGATACAAAGATGGGTGTAGGTACTGTATTTGCATACTAAAGTTATGGTAAGTATTACATCATGAAAATTGGTTTTACATTAAAAAACCTCAATTTCAGGAGGGTCAAGAACTTTAACACCTTTTCCAAAATTTAGATGACTCCATTAGTAAGAGATATAGTGGGTCTCAGAAGAAAATCGTGTTTCCTGGACTCAAATACATGAGGGTTGAAAATCAGGTTGATATGACAAAATCGGTTGAGTTTGCCACACTGCTTACTGGTTCTGTTCCAAATGTGAAAGTCCCGTGAATAATACTTCAGTACATTCTATAAAGTGTCAGACTTCCAGAAAAGATCTATAGATGAAGGTATCGGTAAATAATGTTTGAATAGATTAGAGTGTCTGTAATCTACACTTTAAGTTTTCAAAGTGTACTGATTTGGATCAAATTTGAAGATCAGTGACTCAGTTGTATGAAAATCACCACACTGTATTTGCTAAAAGTATTAATATTACACTCACTGACAGGAATATTATATTGCCAATACATACCCAGTGGGCCTCGTTTTTTTTACAAACTCATATCTTTGTTTTACATAGCCAGATTAATAAAAATCTGTTGCCTGTAACTGATTTAGTCCAGATAGGATTATGTTACTGGATCTTATCCTGAGACTGAGATATCGCGATCTCACTCAGTTACAGGAAAACCCTGTGGAAGCCTCAAGAGTGCAGGATCACCTTTTCTATTTAATTTTAAATATGATTAGTTAAATATCGTTTACATTTTAAAAACAACATAACCTATGTTTTTGTTAAAATGCATTGGTGTAGGTTCCACCTGTGCCTACACACAGATGAACATACCTATGTGTAAAATATTACACGAAAGTGCACATAAGGGTACTAGACAGGTCGGGTGAGATGGAAAAATCTAGGATGGTATATTGCATGGGATATCCCTGTCTGACGAGAGAGAAAAACATCTTAAGATGGATGTAAGGACATACAGGCCCAGTGCGCCTCTGTCTTACATAGCCAGATAAATATCTCAATATGGATATATGGATATACAGGCCCATTGGGCCTCTGTCTTACATAGCCAGATAAATATCCCAATATGGATGTATGGACATGAAGAAAAGAGAGAAAGTCTAAAACCCTGGTAAAAATACTAGCCCTAACATATGACTCGGTTAGATATAAGTTCTCTTTAATTTGATTAGTTCAGGGCTAGTAAGCCAGATGACCTTGGTTGGAGTCCTACTGAAGACATTAAAATGAATAATGACTTGTTGCATATCTAGTATAGTTTTGTTCATATCGTTTAAAAATCAAGCTGCCTAAATTTTCATTTAACTTTGTGATTACTTTGTTTGGGAGAACCTTCAGTCTCTCTCTCTGTTTGGGATATACTTCAGTCTCTCTCTGTTTTGGATAACCTTCAGTCTCTCTCTGTTTGGGATAATCTTCAGTCTCTCTCTGTCTGGAATAACCTTCAGTTTCTCACGGATAATGATCAGTACCAAGGAAACAGTCATTTTTTTAAGGATATTTTCTGGCCATTTTAGATCGCTATTTTCACAACTTTGATGAGTCCATTTACCATCAGATAAAGTCGGTTCCCTAGGATTGAGTGAGGCCCGCAACAAAAGCACAGGTCCTAAAAATCATTGGTAAGATATGAAGGGCCAGTTCTGGGCCAAATCATTGGAATTAATACTAAAGGATGGCCTAATTACGAATATTTCAATGATTTATTAAATCCTGTTGGCAGATTTTAAAAGTTTCCATCAGTTTAACCCATATTTCAAACATTGTAAATTTTGAAATGGAATTTTGTTATCCTGAACTATAATTGTAAATGAACTCCTTAAAATCTACATTGAGAAGTTTTCTGTCAGTCAGTCAGCAAGTCTGAAGCAATCAGACACGTAGGATTTTTAGTGTAAACATATATTTTTACACTTTCTTTTAAGTTGGACTTAATTAAAATATTAAGTTCCCTCTGTACATGATATCTACTTCTCAGGAGAAGCACATCACAAGTAATTTCTGTTCTGAATTTTAAAAACCTTTCTCACTGATGATTTTGCATGATTTCTCAGTCAGCTGCAGTATTTTACTTTTTGCTGAGGTTTTGAAAGTGCATTAGGTGTAATAGCTGTCAATGTGCAGCATGAATAATTGGAAAGATGCATTATAACATTGGAAAGTGTCATTGCCTCTGGCTAGAGATTGAGAGTATTAAGTGTGATTACACGGAGTGCATGTCAGACAGGGCCGTGTGAACATGCACATCAATACCTGGGACATGCATTGGCAGTTTGTCGATTTTATCTTGTTTGATTACCTTTCTCTCTCTTCTCAGAAAATGTCTGAAAACTTATTGCTGTAGTCTAAAAATATTGTAATTACAGAGATGATATACTGAAGTACATAGTTCAGTAGTTCATGTTGTGTATCTAAGATTTCTTCATAGTGTCATATAAATTATTGTACATGTTTGATATAGTCTACACTATCATGTTATGTATACCATTGATTGATCGACAAGAGAGTAATATTCTATTGATCAGACAAATGATCGATAAGAGAGTAATATTCTATTCTATCAGACAAATGATTGACAAGAGAGTAATATTCTATTGATCAGACAAATGAACGACAAGAGAATGATATTCTATTCTATCAGACAAATGATTGACAAGAGAGTAATATTCTATTGATCAGACAAATGAACGACAAGAGAATGATATTCTATTCTATCAGACAAATGATTGACAAGAGAGTAATATTCTATTTTATCAGACAAAATGAAGTAATTGAAAATTAAAATTTATTATGAATTTTGATGATACCGTTTGTATGATGTTATATAATTGTATAGATATATATATATGTATATGATAAAATCAATCACCAAAGGGTTCTTTATCATTAACTTTCTACTTTGTTTAGGTTATAGAGGGACAGCTACATTTGAACTCAGTAAATTTTACAAATCTTGGAAATCTTTATGTTTGTAATTTTTTTTCATTAAAATACAATTTGGTTTTTATTCATTCCAACATCAGTTTGCCAGCCTGCAAACTACCATCATTGAACAGCCTGTTGATTGATGTGAGGGAGACTGGTCCATGTTTACCGAGTATTACAAAGATTATAGAGTCAGTTACATAGTAACAATCACGTGACATTCTACACACAATAACCACATCACTTATCCTAACTTAGAGCTAAAGTTGAAGCCCGGATCACATGCCATCATTAGATGTAGATTTGTATTCACACCAACTGTATACACTTTTAGACAGATTATAATCAGGTGAAATTGACTGCCACATAAAGTCATCTCAATTTTGATATTTTGGGTTTACCTTTATTTCGAAAACTCGAGAAGACAACTATCTCAACTTGTTTTAACAGTTTCATATTTAGAAAAGAATACATCTTCCATTATGGAACAATTTGTACTTTGCGTATGTCAGTGTTAGTATACTTAACACTGGCCATTTGTCTGATGACACTGGCCATGTAGTCATTAAAACATCACTTTCAAATCATCTACTGGGTGCAGGAAGTTTTATTCCAACTAAAAAGATAGATTGATCAGGTCTCCAAATTTGCTGCAAACATCATGGTACAGAGATATTTCAAGAGGCTTTGTTAGATTGAATATGGTCCCAATTCTCATTTGAATTTACTCTATTATATGAAAACTCACAAAATATAAAGTTTAAACCTTAAGATTTCCATTCCAAGAGGACAATTTTCTTCCCAAAACAAGATAAAAAGGCCCTTTATCACAAATGAGTGCAAAAAGTCCTGTGGTGAAATGTAATGAAGTTGAACAGATTTACACTTTGATGTCATATCACCCAAAGTGTGTAAACAAAATAAATTAATTATGGAAATTTTGAGACAAAACGTTGATAGCCCTGATCAGCTGATCAGTACATTAGTCTTAAACCTACATCAGTGCTGGTATGTCTGTGATGAAATGTAGACATCGGTTTATCTGGAGGTAGATCGTGTTGAAGATATTACTGGTCCGCACTGATCTTTGTATAAGAAATGCGATGGAATTTGACAAAAGTACTACAACATCAACAAAAATATAAAACAATGGAAATCATTCATAACTGTATAAACTTAATAGTTCTAGGTGATCATTAAAATAGACGTTTTTATAACACAACTAGTAGAAGATGGTTATAAGAACTGCTTTTCGATTGACAACCTGAAGAAAATTTCTAGCTGATCACATGTACTAAAAAACTGTAACCACATGCATAACTTTTTTTAAATATTTTTTTTGTACATAGCAATGCATGATAAGTTTTAAGGTTATGACGGTGAAATCACTCTCAAATTTTTAAATGAAAAAGTTAAAATCTATTTTATTCAGATTTTCGGCGCCATGACAGTAACTGTGCAAAGAGGACAGACTTGAATTTTGACGATATCCTAACACTCCTGGGTAATGGGAATTTACAGCTAATTGATGTGAGGGAACCCAATGAGCTGGCCCAACAGGGAGAGTTTCCCTCTGCTCTCAATATACCACGTGAGTATCTCTCTAGTCCTTTGAAGAACACATTGGCAGATTACAAAATTACAGAAATGATGACATGCTTATAAAGTTTTATTCTAGCCCCCATGTCTGATAGTGAAGACAATATTTCAAAATTGAACTTTTTGGCAACTTTGTCAATATAGATGTTCTTATATTGTTTAGACCAGATAAGCTACACTAGCATGAACATTGACAAAGAACGCCAAAATGACATTTTTGGAATATATATCAATGAGAATTTATCAGATGTACATATTCACACCTGTGTTAGGATAGGGACTATAGGAACTCACCTCTGTCTGTATAAAAGACAAAAATTATTTTTACTAGCACTTGTCGTAAGTTAACAACACTGACAAAGTCATTATTTATTAACACTCATCATAGTTCATTATTTATTAGCAGTTATAAACTGAGTATAAACATGAATCATACCTGACCTATGACGTAAAGGCATGTTTATATACCTACATATTGACATACATTTCATCCTACAAGTAATTTGAATCAAACATTGGGCACATTTTAACATGTATATATATCTTATTGGTTTAAGTATTGAAGTATTTCTAAATTCAGAAAAAATAAAGTGTTGGAATTTGAAATCTTTGAAAAAATTCTGTAGCCTCGATTTCTTATTTGAATTTGAAGTTTTGGTACGGTCAGTTGTGTGGTATATGACTTTCTGACCTACTTTGTCTACAATCCCTCAGTGTTTACATTGTGTCTAGGTAGGTGTATATCAGGCCTTAGTCAATAAACCTAGGATCATTCCATTTAGTTGACCAAATTTTAGGCAACACTGAACACATCCACAAACACCCACGGCAAATGAATCAAAGGCAAACTTGCAGCACATCAGCAAACGTATTACAAATAACACACATTCTTCTTATTCTTTTCAAAAACTCTGGAGAATAGTGGGTTAAATGCCTACTTTTGAAACATTTATTTAGCTGAAAAAGTGACATGTACAGTATATTTAATATTTAACATGGTTTAGAAAATGTTTTTAAAAAGTTTGTATTGTTGAAACCAGCAGGTAAACAACTTATATATATAATGCTGATTAATGTAGTGTGCTAGCTAACACCAAAAATGTCATTGGGTTGGAATTCATTCAAATTTCTTTTCATGAACTTCATTTAAAATTCTGGTCATATTATGAAAGTTTAAAATTCTGACTTTAACAGTATTTTTTATCATTTTTATTTCATACTAGCTGTTTACATGTACATGTTTTTGTTGTTGGAGATTAAAGACTTTTTAAAAATTCTGCTCATATGATCACAGATTTTTATAATATTTTTATATGTTTTATTCCATGCTAGCTGTTTACATGTTTTTATTGTTGGAGATTATAATCCGACTTTTCAGAACAGATGTTTTCCAAGCTTATTAACTTTTGATCCAAGAATTAACCAGTCACTAAGCTATTTCTAAGTAGAATGTTATTGTTTGACATAAGTCAAATCTGATTCTGTTTTTTGTTTTCTAGAAGAATTTGTTTTCATGAAGGTCACTATCACCAATACACCAGCGAATATTAAAAACTTACTTAGGTCTGGAATAAAACCTTTACATTTTTAAGACAAAGTCAGAATACAGGATAATATTTTACAACGATATGAGGGAAAAGAACCTCCTCAAAAAAAAAATTTTGAGAATAATTAATATTTTTTGTGAGAATAATTAGTATTTTTTGTGAGAATAGTTAGTATTTTTCATGTGGTAAACCATCTTCATGTGATTATTGATTAGTAGGTAAGGAGACAAGAACAACTAGATGGCTATTTTTATAACCTCGGATTAGCAGATATAGACACTGAAATTTAAAAGTGAACACATTGGTAGTGCTTGATATATAACCAACAGGTAGTGCAACACATGTCAGTAGGTCATGGTCAGATCAGGTAGATTGTAGACAGAGGTAAATGATGGTCAGTAGGTCATGGTCAGATCAGGGAGTTTGGAGACCCAGGTAAATGATGGTCAGTAGGTCATGGTCAGATCAGGGAGTTTGGAGACAGAGGTAAATGATGGTCAGTAGGTCATGGTCAGATCAGGGAGTTTGGAGACAGAGGTAAATGATGGTCAGTAGGTCATGGTCAGATCAGGGAGTTTGGAGACAGAGGTAAATGATGGTCAGTAGGTCATGGTCAGATCAGGGAGTTTGGAGACAGAGGTAAATGATGGTCAGTAGGTCATGGTCAGATCAGGGAGTTTGGAGACAGAGGTAAATGATGGTCAGTAGGTCATGGTCAGATCAGGGAGTTTGTAGACAGAGGTAAATGATGGTCAGTAGGTCATGGTCAGATCAGGGAGTTTGGAGACAGAGGTAAATGATGGTCAGTAGGTCATGGTCAGATCAGGGAGTTTGGAGACAGAGGTAAATGATGGTCAGTAGGTCATGGTCAGATCAGGGAGTTTGGAGACAGAGGTAAATGATGGTCAGTAGGTCATGGTCAGATCAGGGAGTTTGGAGACAGAGGTAAATGATGGTCAGTAGGTCATGGTCAGATCAGGGAGTTTGGAGACAGAGGTAAATGATGGTCAGTAGGTCATGGTCAGATCAGGGAGTTTGGAGACAGAGGTAAATGATGGTCAGTAGGTCATGGTCAGATCAGGGAGTTTGGAGACAGAGGTAAATGATGGTCAGTAGGTCATGGTCAGATCAGGGAGTTTGGAGACCCAGGTAAATGATGGTCAGTAGGTCATGGTCAGATCAGGGAGTTTGGAGACCCAGGTAAATGATGGTCAGTAGGTCATGGTCAGATCAGGGAGATTGGAGACAGAGGTAAATGATGGTCAGTAGGTCATGGTCAGATCAGGGAGTTTGGAGACAGAGGTAAATGATGGTCAGTAGGTCATGGTCAGATCAGGGAGTTTGGAGACAGAGGTAAATGATGGTCAGTAGGTCATGGTCAGATCAGGGAGTTTGGAGACAGAGGTAAATGATGGTCAGTAGGTCATGGTCAGATCAGGGAGTTTGGAGACAGAGGTAAATGATGGTCAGTAGGTCATGGTCAGATCAGAGGTAAATGATGGAGTAGGTCATGGTCAGATCAGGGAGTTTGGAGACAGAGGTAAATGATGGTCAGTAGGTCATGGTCAGATCAGGGAGTTTGGAGACAGAGGTAAATGATGGTCAGTAGGTCATGGTCAGATCAGGGAGTTTGGAGACAGAGGTAAATGATGGTCAGTAGGTCATGGTCAGATCAGGGAGTTTGGAGACAGAGGTAAATGATGGTCAGTAGGTCATGGTCAGATCAGGGAGTTTGGAGACAGAGGTAAATGATGGTCAGTAGGTCATGGTCAGATCAGGGAGTTTGGAGACCCAGGTAAATGATGGTCATTAGGTCATGGTCAGATCAGGGAGTTTGTAGACAGAGGTAAATGATGGTCAGTAGGTCATGGTCAGATCAGGGAGTTTGTAGACAGAGGTAAATGATGGTCAGTAGGTCATGGTCAGATCAGGGAGTTTGGAGACAGAGGTAAATGATGGTCAGTAGGTCATGGTCAGATCAGGGAGTTTGGAGACCCAGGTAAATGATGGTCATTAGGTCATGGTCAGATCAGGGAGTTTGGAGACCCAGGTAAATGATGGTCAGTAGGTCATGGTCAGATCAGGGAGTTTGGAGACAGAGGTAAATGATGATTGAGATCGGGTTGAGCTACTGATGAAATGTCACTTTGTAGACAAAGTCACCTGCATGTAAAATCATTAGTTATAAGTGGAGAATTATTTTTGTGGATTTGGTTTATACTCATAATCTCAAAATTCATACATCTTCAAACTATTAAGTTAGTATAAGTAGATTTATCAAGCTATCTTTATCCACAGAATCAAGTGTCCATGAAATGGTTTGAAAAATTATGAAAATCAAGCCGATGAAAATGTACACTTTTATGGTACTTTGTTTTATTAGAAGGTATTGTTGTCAATCACATGCATCATGACATGTATATTGTATCAAGCTAGCTGGTTAATTTCCTCTTACTCTGGGCATTCATGTTTTTACCTGAGTGAAATTTTCTGGTCGATATTTGAGGGGGATTGACTGACAGGGGAATCCCCTACCGATCAGGACAATGGTATGAATGTACCAATGAAATCATATCAACAATTTAATAACATCATGTCAACAGAGTCAAACATGGAGTTAAAACAATGAAATATAGCCTGTATAGAAACCTAAACGGGAAAAAAAGACATTCACTGAAAAGAGATTAATAGAATCTTTCACCCCCTTGGAGGTGAGATAGGTAGATCTCGAGGGGAAAGATGATTAACAAACAGGTGTTTGTAATTTGAAGATCTTTTCCCAAGGGTTGAGATCACCTATTCTTTCAAACAAGGGGGTGAATTATTATTTCATCTTACCTTTCCGGCTTTATAAGGTACTCCAATGTTTTTGTCGTCCTAATGCTTCTATTATTGATGTAATTTAATTGTTGACCTTATGTCAATAAATCTGTGACATCATATCATTGTCCTGACAGGGGAATACCCCATCTCAACCCGAGGGTGTGTGACATCATATCATTGTCCTGACAGGGGAATCCCTGATCTCAAACGTAGAGTGAGACAAGGAAATCTCACACCAGTAAAAAGCATGGATTTACCTGTCCAGGTTAAGAAAAAGAGTGATCTCCACTCTGGAGAAAAGATTCTTAGCTGGCAATCAATCTGTAAGTGTATGTTTGCCAACCCAAGTATCTTTTACCTCAAGTTTAGATATCACTCTGCTTCATCACCTCCAAGAGGGTGAAAGATTTTATTTATCATGTTATTGATAGATCAGCAATATTGGTGTCTGCCACTTTACTGATATGTGCTCTTTCTTCCTTCCATACAGTCAGTTGTCTGAAGGAAAGTCTCATGTTAAAGGATGAACGCTTCATTGAACTGTTCAACATACCGAAACCTAGGCCAAATGACGAAGATATCGTCTTTGTCGGCTTCGGACCAATCAAAAGCAGCACTGCTCTGGAAATAGCGCATAAAATGGGATTCAAAAAGTACATATACAGCACCACCATTATATGTCTTATTTATGCTATTTTATAATAATGTTGTTTGTGCTGTAGCTGACTCTGTGTGGCACGTATAATTATTTTGTGTTGCACTTCGTCGGTACGAGCATATATCCACAAAAACATTTCAGTTTGTCAGATTAAGGACGCCGATGAACAGGTATAACATAAATATAGGACTGGATTACTAAATACATTTACAAAAAAAAGGGAGGAAAATGAGAAACATGGATTCTAAACATTTTGATCCCATCAATATGGTGTCTCTGATGTAGATTGTCCCTGAATAGGTTTACAGAAATGTACAAATAACAATATGAAATTAATTTTAAGTTCATAGAGAACTATTGATTATTATAAAGTTGTTGATTTGGCACATTATACACAGTTTTGTTTTTCAAAAACTATGAAAAGATGTGAATGGAATTCAATTTTGGCAAAGATTTTAATGATGGATGTTGAAAGAGTTATGTCCCTTATATCAAATTTTCCAGAATCCTATTGAATCACTTCCGTACAAGCAATACAGACCTGATTTATCATTTGATATCAGTCCTTCTACACCAATACTCCATTGATATAGAAATGGCTTCCTTCATCTGACATTGGTGTTTTTACTTGTGTGGGGACATTAATTGTTCGAGGTTCCAAACATTTGTGGAGGTTTTTTTCTTATTTGTTAGTGTGCACGAAAAAACCAAAGCAACACAAAATAGAAACAAAAAAAACCAAAAAATTGTAGGATTACACTGAGTTCTGTAAGTGAAAATGTTTGACAGTTGACAAAATCGTTCACGGGACAGAACCAGGAGAACCATTGTTTTGTTGAAATTTATGGCTTGAAATAAAACATGCTGTAAAATCAAATTGGTTCATAACAATAAAAAATACACACAATACGATGGTCAATTGGAATATTTGTAAAGTTTAAATATCATTACCATGCGGATATTATTTTCTACACACTCCAAAATGTTTGTACTCCTACCAGATCACCTTTTGTCCCCACACAATTCTCTGTTGGCAGCAAGCATCTGTCTATTGTCTTACTCTGTTTCTTTTTCTATGGTGTTTGAAGTGGGACAATTGGAATCGGCCCTCAACATGGCTCCACACACATTCAAGGCTTTGTACGGTTGTGACAAGCCTGATCTCCTCGATGACAACATTGTATTTGCCTGTTACGCTGGCATTAGGAGTTTGAAAGCCATGAGTATAGCTCATGAAATTGGTTACTTGAAGTAAGTGTGGATTGGTTAAATTCTAATAAAGTGTGGCCTATTAATGTATGGTGTTATGGGACAGATATTCATAAATTTGTGGCAGTCTGAAATATTTCTGGTACAAGATTTTCTGGGCATTATATACATGTAATCTAGGTGTACGTCATATACATGTATTCCAGGTGTACGTCATATACATGTATTGTAGATGTACGTCATATACATGTATTCCAGGTGTACGTCATATACATGTAATCTAGGTGTACGTCATATACATGTATTCCAGGTGTACGTCATATACATGTATTCTAGGTGTACGTCATATACATGTATTCTAGGTATACATAAGGTGTACGTCATATACATGTGTTCTAGGTGTATTTCATATACATGTATTCTAGGTGTACCTCATATACATGTATTGTAGATGTACGTCATATAAATGTAATCTAGGTGTACGTCATATACATGTGTTCCAGGTGTATTTCATATACATGTATTCTAGGTGTACCTCATATACATGTATTGTAGATGTACGTCATATAAATGTAATCTAGGTGTACGTCATATACATGTGTTCCAGGTGCATGTCATATACATCTATTCTAGGTGTTCGTCATATACATGTATTCTAGGTATACATAAGGTGTACGTCATATACATGTGTTCTAGGTGTATTTCATATACATGTATTCTAGGTGTATCTCATATACATGTATTGTAGATGTACGTCATTTAAATGTAATCTAGGTGTACGTCATATACATGTGTTCCAGGTGCATGTCATATACATGTATTCTAGGTGTACGTCATATACATGTGTTCTAGGTGCATGTCATATACATGTATTCTAGGTGTACGTCATATACATGTATTGTAGATGTACGTCATATAAATGTAATCTAGGTGTACGTCATATACATGTGTTCCAGGTGCATGTCATATACATGTATTCTAGGTGTACATCATATTCATGTATTCTAGGTATACATTAGGTGTACGTCATATACATGTGTTCAAGGTGTATGTCATATACATGTGTTCTAGGTGCATGTCATATACATGTATTTTAGGTGTACGTCATATACATGTATTGTAGGTGTACCTCATATACATCTGTTCTAGGTGTATGTCATATACATGTATTGTAGGTGTACGTCATATACATGTATTGTAGGTGTACGTCATATACATGTATTGTAGGTGTACGTCATATACATGTATTGTAGGCGTTCTGGAGTATACATGTATTGTAGGCGTTCTGGAGTATACATGTATTGTAGGCGTCCTGGAGTATACATGTATTGTAGGCATTCTGGAGTATACATGTATTGTAGGCGTTCTGGAGTATACATGTATTGTAGGCGTTCTGGAGTATACATGTATTGTGGGCATTCTGGAGTATACTTTCAGTGTACCATGATGGCAATATTTTCATGGGAATTCTTGGGAGAAATGTTGTATGTGGGTTTGAAACTATGTTAGATAATACTGGATTCCTCGCATTATAATTGAAAATTCTGTATTCAATTTAGTATGTTATCAGTAAGAATATTGACGGTCACATGTAAAGTGTGTGGAGCTCAGGAGCCCTTCCTTCTGTACATTGTTAACACTTCAAACTTGGCTTACCTGTATTGAGCAATCTTATACTTCAAACTGTAGTGAAATGTTCAGTCAATAATATCAGTTATCCTGAGACTTGTACCTACCTGAACTGTGTAATATGCTATGTATAAGTATCTTTGACTGATGTACACATTGACTGTCTGAATAATTAACCGTTAGCAAATCTCCTGTAATTCTATGTCTGTTTGAACAAAATCAATCATGGATATTTCTGGGGAAGGATTTTGGGCTTTTCACAAATAATGAACATAATTGCTGAAATTATTAAAACTTTCAGAACAATTTATCCACTTCCTTCTTGTCATTTAAAATTTTCCCCTTACATTCCGGAAGCCTATACCTGGTTCATAAAAACAGATCCTACTAATGAATATGAAATAAGACATACAATTAGTGTAAACATATTGTTACAAGTTAGACATGTAGATATAGGAAACCTGATGTTATTGGCTTTGTCCTTCTATATGGAAGTTGATTTGTATGTTACACAGTAAGACGTGTAGATATAGGAAACCTGATGTTATTGGCTTGACATGTAGACTAATATTTCACTGAGTATTCTAATAATTACATATACACATAGAATAACCAGCACTCTGTTCTGTTAAAAATCAGTTGATATCATTCATATACAATTGTCTAATATTTTTGTATTCATGGGTATTTATATGACAATGTTACTTTGTAATAAATTATAAAAATAAGTGTTATAGTATTGAAACAGATTCTACATATGATTTAAGTCATCTCAGATTTACAATGTTTAATGTAAATATCAATTGTACAAATATTTCCAATTTACATCAAGATATAATTGATATTTTCTATATCTACATTGTGTTAATATTGATGTTTAAGATTATTGAATAATATTGTTATCCATTTCAGGGCTAGACAATACACAGGAGGGTTTAAAGAATGGCTGGAGAAGACCGAGGAGATCACTAATTGATTGGTCTATGTGTTGATGGTTGTACTGGGCTGGTGTGTGATATATACATAACAATTAGTATAATAAAACCATCTGTAAATCCTGTCAGGACAGCTTAACAAAAAATATAGCTCAGCAAAATAGCTCAGCAAAATAGCTTTTACATGGGAAGGTCATAAATTCCTCAATATCAGCACGCACTAACATTTCAATTGTTTTCTCGTTATAATCACTGTCAGTTACTTTCAGTGACCTTAAATAAATGTACTGATATGAAAGATTCCACTACAAAACAAGATATAGACTGAACAAGTCTCTGATGATCACAGACATGGCATGGTTTGGGTCTTCAGCACAATTATTGGATGAATTTTATCTTATAAATGGTCCTTATTTTAACACGAATTTGAGACCATGATGAATGGTCAATACTACATATAGTACATGTCCTTTCACAGTTTTTTTTTTCATTCCAATTCATGACTTGCAATTTGTGGCCTAAACATTTGAGCAAAGTTGGGTTTTTTGTTTTCTTTATATACTAGTTTTAAAATTGGATAATGAAAGCCAAAACTTACTTGACTGCATGTAATTTTTATTGCAAGTCTGAATTGTGAGCTTGATGGTTACATTTTGACAAGGCCTTAAGTTCTCGTAAGGACAAAACCCAGATGTTCATTTTTTTGTTTTGGTACTCAGAAAATGTGTTGCAATATATACAAAATTTCAATAGTTTGATGCAGAAACTTTTCAAGATGTTTTGAAAATAATTTTGTGGTGAAATCAGAAAGATGCCATAATTTATGTTCTTTTTCTTTCTTTTCGTGAAGAAGATGAAGTATGTGGTTTGTTGTTTATTATGCATATCTCTAAAACCTCTCTTCCTAAAGAACATGCCAGTTACAAAAGAGTTATCTCCCTTGTACTTTGTGAGAAAACTTTCTTCCTGAAGAACATGCCAATATCCAAAGAGTTATCTCCCTTATACATTTTAACACAGACTTGGATATAGATATATATTTAAGTCCATGATATTGGTGTGTTGATTTTAGTCACGAGGTGTTCAAATGTTTTGATCTGTTCCATCACTATGTTTACTGTGTGTGATTATTTGCTTCAGTTTTTTCCCCCACATACTCTATCAAGTTATATAAAAATCCCACAAAGAAGATTTCGAGCCAAAGAATGAAATTTTTATAAAAAGTGTTTTGATTACTTAGTCGTATGAAATTGGATACAACACGTGATGTAGCCAGGCCATTATTTGCTCAGATACTTGTTCTTTATTCAAGCACAGTTTTTTTGATGTCTGACGGTGATGTATATAGGCCATTTACTATAGGTGTAGATTCTTCATTTTATCCCTAGATAAACACTTGTACAGTGATCAATCTGCAAGTTATTTTCTTGAGTCCTTTTCAACTTCATTGCTAAAAACAATGGGTCCCCCAATGTAAAATTCTATATCCCATCAACATTTGATTTGGACAGGACTCGGGTAAATTTATCAGTGCTTGTGTCTACATCACTGAGAAGACCCTGGTGTTAGAGTCAACAGTTTCAAGGAAATATGTGTGTCTTTATCAAATAGTTTTCTCAAATTGATTTGCTCTGTGTAACTCATCATATCTTCATTGGCAGGCAGTTAGAAATTGTTTTGTTGTCCATTTAGAATTGATTCCAGTTTTCTGTGGTTTCATGATCAGTATTATAATATTATTGTAGAGTCCCTGGTTTGATGTTGAAGGTCATAGAAAGGTCATATAGATATTAATGAGAAGCTTTATTGTTGTTTCTGTCAGACTTTTTATACCAATTTATATTACAAATGATATTATGTCATATCTTGTTTGTCTCCCATATTGCCGTCAAACTAATATATACTGTAATGCTAGAATTCAATTCCATATGGAAGATATGCAATTGAAAAAAATTGTCATAAAATGGGACCAATCTTTGTTACTCTTGAAATAACCTGTTTCTGATTAATTGAATGCTGTTTTCAGAAAGAGTTGCTAGCATTCTTTAGTTAAGGAAGACAGTTGAGTTGTTCACGTATATAGAGGTTTTCCCTCAATGGGCTTGTGGTGGGGATAATTCTGAATGTTATCATAGAAAGCTGCCTTTATATACAATATATTCATATGTACTGAAGGTCTATTTGTGATGGGAGTTTTCAGATTTTAAGCTGTATGATGCTAACTTGGTGCCTGATCTGATGTCTGCTATTTATGGAGATTTGGTGCCAGTATTATTCCAAATGTTCTTTGTGAATAGAACATTAATGCAATATGTCTGATTAAATAAACATTAAAATTATTCTGTCCATATATGTACATTGTATATGTACAATTCCCGTACTAGATTGGGGGGTTGGGGTTGGCAGTGTTGAGTAAAATTGTTTGTGAATCTGTTGATTAAGTTTGTTATTGTCCTATTGTAATGGGGTTTTTTTTATACAAATGTGTTTTTATTTATTTTCTTGTCATATGCATATTAACTGTCAGCGTGCAAACCAATGTCTCATGAGATCCAATGTGTCACAAGCTTCATTTCAACATTTCATTTTGTATAATTACCTGATCTACTTATCTAGAAGTTCCTTGTACTTGTCTCTGTTAACCACATCAGCACCCTGTGGTGATATTTTGTTGTATGAACTATTCTCTCTATCATTTGGTGTCTTTTTGTAAGGACTTGTACAGTTATACCTTGTTAACATGATCACCTTATATGGTAAATTGATAATTACCTGTACTCAGCATTCTGTAAACAAAACAAAGTGTACTCAACAAACATTATATAATTACTGCATTGATATGTTTAAATGTGAATGTGTATTTTCAAATAAATTTGTTAATAATACTTTCTTTTTCTTTCTTTTTTATGCAAAATGCAGTTTTCTTATCTGTCGATTTTTTCTTTTCATTTCTTGATGGAAAAGAGAGAGAGAAAAATATCTGTCTCCGCCCACTTGATAATGATTGGAGGAGTCAATGGCACAGCGCCACCTTGCGGCGTTTCTGTTGAAACTTCTTTTTTGTATGAATGGAATATCTGTTTACATTCAAACGGACTATAAACATCATGAAATATTTATAAATCTCAAAAAGTACACAAACAATAAGTGCTGAATTTGTCGGGTAGGTGGGGAATATGTTATCTTATATTTTTACACATTTCCGTTTGGAATGTGTATGAGCCAACACGTTAATGGCTTTTGAATGACTGAAAATGGCACGAATTAGCTGTGAATGACTTGACGTCATGCCATACACGCTGTTATGTGTAGAGATTTGTAATAAAATGTCCATCATCAACTTATCTAAAAAAAAAAATTAAATGTCAAAAACCTAATTAAGAAATGAATTTGATCAATAAATATTCCCAGTGCGTATGAATACAAATATTAGGTCAGGGGAGAAAATTCCCAACTTGTACTAGACTGGAAATATACCACAAGTATGAGATTTCTTGTCCAATTCAAAATTTAATAACTAGCTCTACGTTTCAAAAGATGTCAAGTGACTGACACCTGATATTTCTTGCTCTCCGCTTCAGTGCCTGTAAAAAATGGCCGACACCTCTTCGTTTGCGAACCGGCGCACCATATCTAGACCTTATTCCTCCGCCGGTAATAAATGCCTACTGTCTTATTTGCACACTATTATTTAAATTTTCATTATTAAAGTTTTCAAAAAATATATTAAATTTTGTTCTTATTTAAGTTTCTTGAATATTAAGTAACCACGCTGAAATATATTTCAACCTGTCACACAGGCGTAGGAGGAGAGGTTTGCTTGGGCGGGCAACACCCAATTTGCCCGAATTTCACAAAACGCCAGAATTTCTCTAATTTGCATGTATCAATGGGAAAACCATCAAACCGCTATACTATATGTGGCAAATATTGGGGTAAAATCGAAAACTTTGGCATAGAGAAAGTACAGCAAAAGCAAGTACACTGTGCTATTTTTTTATTGAAGCTGTTAAGATGTCAAATTTTTAATACAGCTGTAGATCATAGTTTGTGCCTCAACACCTAAAACTAATAATCACTCCTGAATGCAGACACATAGGCTACACATTGAAGGAAAATTAGAAGGACATAGTATTCGGTATGAGATATTTTCACACACCACAGCAACATCACAGTACTGACATGTGACAATATGTGACATGATGAGCATATCATCACTAAGTCTAACATACATGTATCATATGGAAAATAGTAATCCACAAAAGCCCCTAGGGTAAGATAACAGTTCAGGGCAAATTAATCCAGAAGAACATGCTGTTTCTGCCCTTCCGTCTGCCAAATACATCTTCAATAGTGTTTATGTCCACCTTATTTACATAGCTTCTTTCAATGAAAAGAAGACCCAATGCTGACAACCTGGTCTGGCCCATAGTGGATCGCAGGTACGTTTTCAACCTTCTCAAGCATGAGAAAGACCTCTCTGCGGAACAGGAGGTTGCTGGTATGACTGCCAGTGTTGTTGCCACCTTAGTGAAATGTGGCAAGGTTTCACAGAGAGAGTTGGAGTGCAGATAGTTGACCACCTGATTTGCCGTTTTCAATTCCACGCCTTCCACATTATGAAAAATGTCAGCTTCAGCCACCAGTTGATCTGGATTCTCTCCCAATAGAGCTTGCAGCCTCCTCGATGACTTTGTTTGCCTTTTTGCTGTCTTTACCTCTTCGAAGTCTGCTGCCACCTCACTGATATTATGTGCACTTTTTGGGCTTTTCCCCAAATCAGGGATAACATATCTTCATCTCTGCACGTAGACAAGGTTTTGATCGTGGCTTCACATGTAGTTTTTGCAGCTATCACGTCGACTTCATGACCCTGCAGGTAGCTTGCCAGGGCATTCGTGTTTAAGAAGATCATCTTCAAAGAAGTGTGCAGTCCCACTACAAACTCGAATTCCAGCACAGCCATTACAAGGCCTCTAGCATCAATGGAAGTTTTTGCATCCTTGTCCTTGGATAGTTGTATCAGGGCAAGCAATATTCTCTCCGGCTGTTGTTCAATGTCTTTCACCGCCTCCCATCGACAGGCCCAACGTGTCTCGCTCTGGGACTTCAACTTTATGTGAGATGGGTATGGATGTGAATCAAGATCCGGCCTAACCACAGAGCGGAAAATACCTTCTCTTTTTGAAGAATTGAAAAAATGTGCAGGGACTGCACAACACCAAGGGCATTTCTTAAAACTTTGTTTTCTTGTAACGTATCTTGCAAAGCAAGGTTGAGCAGGTGCCCATAGCAATGAACATAAACAGTCTTAGGTGCGACTTCCTGTACTCTAGTTGCCACACCCTTCTTGTGACCAGACATGTTCGATGCTCCGTCGTAGCACTGACCAGCTAGACCATCCATTCTTAATCCTACGCTGTCCAACACATTCTGCACCAGTTTGAAGAGCGCCTCGCCTGTTATAGATGTAACTTCATAGAAGCCAATGAATGATGCTGTAGGTTGACCATTACAGATATAACGCAGACACACCTACACTTGCTCCTTGTTGCCTATGTCAGACGTTTCATCAACTATGATGCTGAATCTGCCAGACTCATCCACTGCTTAAGATATGTCTTGCAACACGCGGTCAGATGCAATCTCCAGAATCTCGTTTTGAATCTCTGGCGACAGCCACTGCTGACGAACTTCTAGCTGTGACGATAACCTGTCAGCTAGCCATGGGATGTCCTTGCATCGGAGATGCGAAAGCTCGATCAAGTTTCACGGTTGACGTCTGACTGCTGTCCAATGCTAGATCTATCTCCTACATGCCCTCTCTGTGAGATGTTTTGTTGTACAGTGTAGAGGAGTGATTCCACAATAACTTTCAATTAAGCTCTGTTCTTGTGGACCACATCTCTGTGTGCACTATCTAGCCGCACCAGGACTGATGTTTCTTGCTTTTTATTTGCCTTTGCTGTGATCCACTTTGTCATAGCTACCCTATGGCTGCTACTCTGGGCATGTTTCGCAAGTCATTCTGGCTTTTTCAAATTGTTGTAGTTGAAGGAATCGGAGAGAAATTTCCCACATGGGAAGCAGACAATTGACTTCGTTGACTTGTCAAAACTGCTCCAGGGATACTTTTTAAACAGCTCTGATTGAAGTCTGTCGTCCCCTTTTGATGTGGCACCTGCTTTCTGTGGTATTCTTCCAGGAGAGGGTGATGTGGACCATCCGACATCTGATGCAAAACTGGGAGCTGCCGTCTCATTTGTCTCAGGCACAGGTCTTGCTGCATGTGGCACATTAGGTGCAGCTCACCCTGTATATCATTTTTAACAGCATCATGGATACCAGTTAGTTCTAGTTCAGCTGCAGAGAAAGTACATTTCAGTAAGTCCTCTTTTTCACCGGCACATGTCTTTGTAGCAGACGACACTCCCAATGATAGCTTCATTTGTTTTGGATCAATCACACGGTGGAATTTCACATGTTGTTCATTTCCATGAACTCTTTTCAAATGTTCACTTTTGTAATCTCCATCAACTTCCTTGCCACACTTTGAGCACATTACTTTGCTCCTGTACTGTCCCTTTCTTGATTTCTCCATGCCAAAGACCTACAATTTAACCGTGAGTTTGCTTCATGATTTGACATTGACATACAGGTGTATCGTGTATTCAAAAACAGCTGTTTTCAAATCCTTGTTTAATAGTAGCAGATGCATTGGATATTAAGATTGATATTTAAGACAATGTCACAATGATATACATCTGCCTTTGTGATAACCAAGTGATTCACTAGCAGCTTCATGCAATTGCTACATAGCTACATGCATCCGAACTTACAATAATGAAATTTATACAAAGTACATGCATAGTAAACATATGTAGACACTAACATATCACACAAATAGATGGAAGTCTTGAGAGATGGCTTGCTTCAGATGCGTGTATGGTGTAGGGCAAGGAGTTAGCATGTGCCCTAATTGATAATGATGCAAGTCACTAAGATCAGCTGACCTACACTAGGCTCTGTGGAATTGCAAGCATTTTTGTGGTTGACAGCCCTTTCTAGGAATGTAGTGTGCACATAGTATTTTATGATTCGGGCAGGCAATCCAATGTTGTACAGTTTGTTAATGTTTTCCTAATTTTTAAAACAAAAATACCGCATTAAAATACAGCATTCTTTCTTCTGGCAAATGCCTGAAATTTCCCACCCACCTGCCCGAATTTTAGCACATTCCTGAATCCAGGGGGGGGTGGGGGTGGGGGTGGGGGTGGGTCTCGCAGTTCATTAAATTTGTCTCAAGACCAACTCAATTCATCATTCCGTGAAATCGACATAAGCAAGATTCAATACTTAAATATATACGAGTACATATATATCTGCTAAAGTTTTGAAATTAGTTTCAGTACGTAAATTTTAACATTTCATTAAGCCAATATTAGTGATTTGATATTAAAGAAATTTATGCCAATCTTTGATATACTCCTTCACAAACAATCGTACATCATCATTATCAGTCTGATTCAAATCAGCAGAACCGTTCAACGTTACATCTAGATAAACTACTGAGTCATATCTAGACAATTTTCTTATTCAAGTCAGCAGAAACGTTCAACGTTACATCTAGATCAACCACTGAGTCATATCTAGACAATTTTCTTATTCAAATCTGCAGAACCGTTCAACGTTACATCTAAATCAACCACTGAGTCATATCTAGACAATTTTCTGATTCATATCAGCAGAGAGCCGTTTAACATTACATCTAGATCAACCACTGAGTCATATCTAGACAATTTTCTGATTCATATCAGCAGAAACGTTTAACGTTAAATCTAAATCAACCACTGAGTCATATCTAGACAATTTTCTGATTCATATC